AGTGGCAAAAGGTTGACTAGCTCGCTGACTATTGTGGACCTTTAAGAGAATTCCAGTTCCACTTCGATTTCGGCTAGGAACGACCAAGCTCGGGAGCCGGCCTAGAAGTGCAGTCCACTGGCGCCCTAAACATCTGGCCACATTTCTGACCCTTTGCACATCCTGTTACCGCGTGCAAGCAAGCAAGCATAAGGAAGCTCTCGTCATAAGTTCTCCATCTTCGTGGACGCTCGCCTCACCGCTGTCGAAATCAACCTTGTACTGGTCCTCTACGGTCAGGCACATGCTCACGAGCCTTGGGCTGGGAGCAGTTCATAGTGTTAGAGTTTAAGGTGCACTGCAAGTCGATCGCAGGGAGTGACGGACCTTCAGCCAAGGGACACGGTGAGACCCAAAAGAATTCCAACCAGCACAGCTGGATATGCCACAGCGCACAGGAAGCTGGTCATGGTGATGCCTGGGCTGTTCTACTATCGAGAGCTTGCAAGCATTGATGACAGAATCTCAGCTCCCTCAGAAGTCCGCAGAAAGAGCCGGCGATTCTTGACCTGATGTCGGCCTGACGACCGCCGTACTTTGAAGGCAAAGCAGGAAATACCAAGCGACGTGTGTGTGACATCGCTGAGAAGAAACGCAAACAAGACTTTCGGGGTGTGCAGACAAGGTGAGGGTGGCTGAAGCAGCAAGGATCAAGCAGAACAAACTACTGTGTAGGCACAGTGTGAACTAGAATCTAGAATCTTGCAAGGCCATCTGATGTGAAACATGGTGCTGAAAATACAGACCACGAAGTGAGGCTCGAACATCGCGTCCGAAACAACATGACAATCATTCGCTCTGACACACCAACAAAGTGACAAAACCAAAACATCTGGACAGACCAGTGGCCGGAACGGAGGGTGTTGCATGAATCCGAGATCCCAACCGTCAAACCCTTCTTCTGAAGTCAACGTGTCCCCATTCTTCGGGAAGTAGCTATACAGGGTCACGATTGTGTGCCACTTGGAAGTCCGTGGGTGTCTTCGTGTTCAGGGCAACTTCGCCCAGGCACTGATATAGGATACATCGTTCCACCTGCGAGGCAGGGCACTCGGGGTTGCACCAACGATACAGTCCTACGTACTGACCTCGAGAGATATACCCTCACGGCCTCACCAGCTTCCACGGGCCAACGTTGGAGGCGACGCCTGCAACGCAGAACGATGCAGAACGAAGCGGGGCCACCGTTGCTTTGCAAGACCCCCGTCGGAGCCTGCTGGATGCCATTCGCTGACCTTGATCCAGTTGCCTTCCCTCCAAACATCGGATCCTCGCGGTCTCCAGGGCAAAACAGAGCCCTGCTCTTCGTGGCTGAGGCATGCTCCGACGATGGCACATACTCTCCGCCAAAGCATCTTCAGTCTCCTGCCGGCACGGTCCCGTTCTCCATGTAGACGTTGCCGCGGGCGTCGATCGCAACATCGGAGAACATTTCGAAGAACTGGTCACAGGGTTGCAGCTCAGGGTGCAGACAGCGTGGTTGACAGCATTCTCAAACGCAAAGGCAATGGGAGCAGCTGTAAAACCCGTAAGCTTAAGCTACCATGACAACTGCCTGGCAGTGATCCCAACCTTGTGTCGAAGAAACTCACTGCTCAGCGGAGGTAGTGAAACGTTCTTCGCAGCTTGCGCCTCAGCTCAAAAATTGACTGCAATACCTATACCTATGCCTATTCGCTCTTCCTCGATTGAACACGACTCTTTGTTCTAGTTCGCCACCATCAAACCCTTGAGCGTAAACACACGGAGCGGAGCATTGCACTTCCGAGCTACTGCTGCAAATTCTGCTGCCGCTGCAGCAAACTCGAGGCTGCCAGCCTTGCAGGAGCACCGCAGTCTGAAGCAAGAGCAACACGGAGCCGAAACAGCCCGCAGAACCTACATTGGGGGGGCCTTAGTCACCTCAGTGTGTGCTGGAAGATGCTACCAGTACTATTGGGCAGATGTGATGGGGTCACATCATGGTCACATCACCCCTTTACATAATAGCAGGACAGGACATAAAGTGTCAAAAGTATCGAGACAAGTACTGCCGAAAACGCATGTGGCAACATGGGAGCACGACTTCTTCCTCTATTGCTAGAACCTCACAGTACACGTGTAAAACACCTAACTTACCACTCAAAAGAACGAAACGACACTATCCGAATCCACACTCCTGGTCTAGAGCACCATATCCGAAAGCATCGTTTTGGACTGGAAAGACCTATCCGAAACTATATTTTCGGACCACAAGGCCTTGCCCGAAAGTATATTCCTGAACTAATGGTTGATGTCCCAAGCACCCAGCGATTGGAACAAAGCCAAAATGGCTTTCCAGGCAAGAATTAAGAGTTTGGATTTATGTCAGGCCTGGCTTCGAACTGCTTAACCCCAGTGTGGACGCTAAAATAGGCAGTTGATGCGACCCTCCCCGGACCCTTCCCCGCAGTGTCTGCAAGGATCCATATGAAATCGATGCGACTAAGGACGGTCGCTGTACTTGCAGCAACACAGGCTGAACGCACAGCGCTCATCGAAATGAGTCAAGCTTTAACAAGGCCCAGCAGATCAGCAAGTGAGTTGTTTTGAAACTTGACGTAAAATTAGTCCACGGCTGACGACACCTCGTCCAAGGCCGCTGGTGCAGGCTCTGCCTGCACTGTCAAGGCAGCCGGTTTAGCGTGTTCAGCGGCAAGAGCGCAGCTTGACACAGGGCTTCGGTGGTGATTACAGTACCTTGTGGGGTGGAGTCGCGTGTGTCTAGTCCAGCACAGACATTAAGCCTCTACATGCAAGCCAAATACATGTCAGCCAATGAAGGGCCACAATGACGCACAATCCGAAACACTCGGGGCTCGGATTCCGTCTGTTACGGTTCGTCCGAGGGCTTCTGCCCGCAGAGCTGGCCGTCTGCCTCTTCCTCGCTCTCCTGGTCCGCTTCCAAGCGGCTGGAGGCTCCGCGTATCCTACCAGCACGGCTGGGAGCAAGAGTGTGTACGGTGTACGTGTGTACGTGGATGCATGTATGCATGCATGCATGCACGTATGTTACATTTGCATGAATGCATGTAAGTGGCATGATGTGGTATGCAAGCATTTGTATATGTATGTATGTACGTATGGATGCACTCATGTAGTGTATGACTTGTGTATGCATGCAGGCATAGATGGATGTGTGGCAACCTGTGTATATGTAAATGTACATTAAACACACACACACACACATAGGCATATAAAGTATATGCGTACACGCACCTATGTACGAGCTGTCTATTTTTGCGCGCATGCATGAGCGCAGGCATGCGCTGATGCATGTGTGCGGTCACATATCTACGTATGCATGTGTAGATATGCATATACATACATAAGCGTGCACGCAGTATGTGTGGTTGCATACATGCATACATACATATCTACATACATACATACATACATACATACATACATACATACATACGTCCATACATTCATGCGACACACATAGAGACAGATACATGTACACATCGTGCGTAGGTGTATGTAGCTTATATATATATATACACACACATATAAATATATATATATATATGTATGTATGTATGTATGTATATATATATATATATCCATTCGACCTGTGTATTTCCACGCGCATGCATGTATGTATGCATGCAGGCATGCAGGATGGGCATGCAGTAGGATGATACGTTCGTATTCATGCATGCAGGCATGCAAACATGTGTGATTGCGCGTATATCCTGTATGCATGTGCGTTTGTGTTTGTAATTCAGTAGCAGGAAGGGAACTTGGATTCTAGTTCAAGCCTGAAGCTGCCCAACAGTACAGTAACTCGGCAGGCCCTAATGATCCCTGATGAATAGAAATCACAAATAGTGGTTTGGCAAGGGTTTGGTTGCTTCGATTTTCTGGCCTGCTAGAGGACAGAGGGGCCGGCATGCCCCTGACAAGCCGATTGAAAATGCGAGGACTCTTCTCTCCCATGCACGATGAGCCGTTTCGAGAAGCTGTCCTCTGCATCGGCTTAGCCGCTGCCTGCATGAGGAAGATCGCGGAGTCATCGTCCCAGTCCAGGGCCTCACAGGTTCCTCAGCAACGCATCGCTTCCAAGGCTGCGAATGACTTCAGAAGTTGACCTTTCGCAAAGCTACGGCTACGGAGTACAGTACTCAGAACGCGGCTTTAGATTTGCGAGTGTTTCATAGAGGGAGTCAATGCTCGACAGACCTCTATATATTCTTCGTTTGTGCCTGGAATTGAAGTGCATGATAACACAATCTTATGTCAATGCGTGACTGGTCAATCTGCCCAGCAACCCTCCGGAGAGCAAAGCTTGTCGCTGCTGACTGTGATCACCTGAGACAAAAAGAATGATGGACTTGGCCTTAGCCAGATGTCTGCAAATAGTCTCGCTGTAGAAATGGACGGCAGCATGTTGCAAAGCAAGACTGCCGAGCAGGTACGGATGCATATCTTGTGAGATGTCCAAAGCTGTCTGAAGTGCTGATCACTTCAATGGCTACCGCAGCACCACCCCCGGCCGAAAGGCCTGACTAAATCCTAGTTCCGACAGTCACAATGGTTGCTATGACCTGCCTGGAGAGTCAGCAGGCACCATGGTACACGCATTGCTGCGATGCAGCGTCACCTCTGCCGATAAGCTTCTGGGGACTTCTGGGGGCCACCCGCCTGGAAACCCAACACGCCCGAAAACCAGCTCCAAGAACTTGCAGACTTGATTTGCCAAGAGTCTCCTCGGTCCTTCCACGTGGCAGCTGCGGGGCTTCGAGCTGGGGAAGGGAAAGATTCGGTTATCGAATAAATGGAATCGGAAGGCTCCTTGCACTCGGGCAAGTTCGAGCCACGTCTGCGACTGGGCTCACTTGTTTGGTGCAGGCAAGTTCCCTAGACCCACAAAATTCCCGCAGTAGAGCACAAGGAAGCTGTGGATCCAAACATCTAAAGTACAGCTCCCAGGCAGGTGCCGAAGGTAATCTCGTCTGAGTCGACCATCTCGTCCAGCCTCACCATCGGCGGGTCGCACAAGCAAGCTGCTTGCAAGAGATCCTGTGCCAAGTGCGTCAGTGACCTATGTTTGAAAAGCTTCCCTCAGGCATTATTCATAAGTCAAGCAAGGAGGTATTTCACAAAGGTGACACGAGCAAGGAAGCTCCACAGAAAAAGGAGTTCGCCTGCCTGACTTACACATCCGCAAAACGAAAATGCCGCCAAGCCGCTGCAGCCAGCTCTCCCCCGAAAAAACTGCAAGGCCTCCAGTCACGGATCTTCGACCACCCTTCACGTACCTAGTTCTCGCGTATCGGCTCTCGACTCTCGAAGCTCGGATGCTTCACGGATGTCCTTGCGATTGGGGCATCCTGCCGGGTGGTGGCCCCTTTCCGGTTGGACATCACGTGTCGCGTGTTCATGGTGCGGGCCTAGCAATTGCAACAGCCTCGACTCATGACTGTCATGACTGGTGCTACCTGGACAGAACCTGTGGGATACGAGCAGCACTTGCTTCAGAATCCTTCGGATGAGTGCTTAGACGACTACCCTGCCGTCTAGCGATCTGGTTTAATCCGCGCACCCATTAGGCAGCAGCAGTGGCACATTTTTGGTAGAATTTGAAGCGAACATGATCCCCAGGTTTGTGGCGGACCTCTGGCCAGCGCCCACCTAGGTCCTAGGTGTGATGAGAGCTTGAGGTCCGGACCTCCCTTTGCACAAGCTGGCCCCAAAACAGATGCTGCCGCCGCCTCACAGGAGGGTGTACGTCGGCTGGCGTGTCGAGGCGAGGCATGGTCGTGGCGGTCCGGGGTTGTGGGTGATACTTACGAGACTGCAATCAAAGGGCGGGGAACCCAAGACATCCAAACACGAAATACGGGGCTTGGATCAGAATGCAGCTAGCATGTGGGCATGACTTGCATAACTTCTGTAACATTGGTGCGGCTTGCAGTATCCCCTCGTTCGGCTCTTCTGGATCTTGCGATCCGGGCTCGTTATCTCATAGCTGGGGAACCCCAGCATTACTAGCAGCACAACTGGGCTCCGATGACCAAGAATCTGTGAGTGACCATACAACTGAACCCTCACCGTGGAGGAGCACTTTGCTTGCTGCTTGTCTTCGCACTTCCTGCCCCAAGGACGACGACGACAGATGTACCAGCACAACTCTGGAGGAGCATTAGCAGCGGCACCGGTAGCAGCATGAGATGCAGAATAACTATCCCCCTGTTGGTATCCATCCCGTGCTGTCGTCGCCACGGGATTGTTCAGACCCTTGCCGGTATTCTTCCGCATTTACGGTGGAAAAAAATTGCCGCTCTGATGACGGAAGCCTGCCGTGACCGTGAGCGCAGCGCGTCGAGCTGCTCTCGATCCGAAAGCCTCGTGTGCTTGGACAATTAACTAGGCGTTCTTCTCGTGATCTAAAACACAGAGCTTTACCAACCGCTTCTTGAAGTAGGATCCTGCGAAGTGCTTTGGCAAGCGCACGGTCTCTGACCAAAACAACGCCGCAAGCGTTACGACTGGTCATCACTCTTTTTGCCTGACAGAGGGTGCAGCCGAGAGGAAGAGCGGTCTCAGTTGATCCAGTATTTCCGCAGACAGCCTTCGCGATTAGGGGTTTTAGCCCGACAAGATAGAGGGCTCCTGGTCCACCTCGGTGGAGCATCCAGGAGCTTATGTCAAAGCCGAAACCCTAAACGCCCCCCCCCAAACATCCCAAAAAAACCGAGGGCCGGCTCGGTGCCCCGCTGGCTCGGTGTCTCGAAGAGGCCGCTTGCTCCTCGGAGCCTCGGCGCTCTTGGCTGTTGGCTAAAAGGTACTCGAAGCCGAGCTCGGGATAGGTTTGTGCAACAGATGCTGTGGCTTGAGATGAATTGTCCATGTGGCGAAGCTTGACCAAGTCTCAGTAGCTCTACGTAGTGACATAATTTGTTCTTTGGTCTTGGAAGGTGCCAGTCCAAACAGAACTTAGCTGGGATTTCCCGGCGAAGGCGTTGCCGCACCAGCGACGGGCAGCGCGCCCGTAGCGGTCTGGATGGACACTTTGGGAGCTTCATGCTTCGCATAAGATTGCTTAAAGCTGCATCAGTCCACATCAGGCCAGCTCTCCCTGCCTTCACCACGGGGAGCGGCACTTGTAATGCCTCCTCGGCTGCCTCTCGGAATGGTCTGTGGTACTCTTCGTCTGGATGGAAGACTCTCGGCAGTAACAGCAGAGCAGCTGGCATGGACGTATGAATGTTGCTAATGTGCGCCGGTTGCGGAAGAAGCACTGACTCCAACAAGTACTCAGGTTCACTTACGCAACCTTGTGCAGCACTGCCCAGCTGGATTCCGAGCACTCATGCAACAGTTTTCACCGGATGATTGAAAAGCTCGGCTCGCATCTGCTCGACCAAGGAATATCATACGAACTGCAATTCAAGCAGCGCTTTAGGCAAGGACTTGTGATTTATGAGCCTGGTCGAATCCCACCATTTTCGCTGCTCAGCCGGTACATGAGTTTGCCCTTCCGGCCGCATCACACACACCGTGCCTTGAGCAAAGCCACGCGCTCCTGCCCAAACCCCACCGCAAGCAGGAAACTGGTGCCGGAATACATTGAATACATCCATACAAACTGAGATGTCTTCGAGAACAAGTGCTTCTTCCTGCTTGGACACATACAAAACTCGACGTGATGTGCGATTTCGGCTTTTACTTCGCTCATGCAGTCGTGTTTTCCGGCATGCACCAACAGCTTCTCCGCCCGCCGGTGAATTAAAGGCATACCGGATATCGCATGCGACATCTAGACTGCTCAGGTAGGCAAGTTCTCTTCTCCGTTCATTGCTTATGCCTGTCATCAAGATGCGTTCGGTCACTGCGAGTGCGGGGCCTGGGTTTTGGCTCTTCTGTGCTTCGACTCTTTGCAATTCGTGGCTTGGTGCGTTTGCTGGTGCATAATATATGCACATCTTCCGAACTTGTCCGATTTATTCGTGCGCCTGCCATTCCGGCCTCCGGCAGCCCGTGGAGCAAAGGCGCGATCGTGCTTATTGATTTTTGGCTCTTAATTGTGAGTACACAGCAGTCGGGACACATGAAGAGCAAAAACACTTTGCTCATTTGGTTTTGCCATCTGTATGTAGCGACTGCCGGGTCGAATAGACGAGGTTGATTCTGCGTGTTTGTCCTGCTGGCAAGAGTCTCTGTGAAACACTCCTGGTCGCTCATGGCCGACATCGACGGGTTGGAATGCGGATCCTTGGCGGGACCGGCTCTGAGCTGAAAACGAGTCATCCAAGGCACTTACCTGCTGGCAGGTCTACGTAGTTTGGGCTGGCCCAACCCATGGGACCGGTCCCGTGGTAGACATCACAAGCTCGACGCACTCAACTTGGCGCCGTACCCCGGCTATCGCTGCTTGGCGCTTCAACAACACAGCCTTTGACCCAGGACACAGGGCTCACAGACTAACAAATGGCAAAGCAGCTTTGACTTGCTGAACCTGACGCATGCATTGACCGGTATCATGACGGTGATGGTTTGTGGGTTGAACGAGTTGAGGCGGTCTTGTCGGCAGAAGTATTCGGAAGTGGATGCCCCAGCAAAAAGTCACTTAAGACGAGACTCACATGAAGAGGTCACTAAATGTATGCATGACCACTGAACCGCTAATACACAAAAATGCGCGTGTATGTGCGGGTGTGTGTATACACACACACACACACACACACACATATATATATATATATGTATACATTATGTAAATACGTACAAGACATTGAAGGTATTTCGAAGATATTTGCTTAGCACATGTGCAGAGTTTAAACATTGAAATGAGAACCCGACACACAGCCACCATTTCAATGGTTTCAGTTGTTTGCATCCGAAATCTTTCAACATGGTAGAAACAGTTGAGGTGGACCCCACTTCAATTTCAACGCCTGGGACCCCCAATCCGTGAAATAACTGGAGTACCTGAAAATCCTAAACCTTAACCTGTTGGGGTGTTTACCCCCACCCCCGCCTATGGTTTTAAGACCTGAAATTGGAACATTTACTGCATGCACAAATACATGAAATGGATCCCATTTCAGTTGTTCCACTTGTTCGGTCCCAAAACTTTCGATGAAAAACTAGAGTAACTTGAAATACTTGAAGTAGACATGCACCAATTCAGTTGTTTCAATCATTTCCGTTCTTGAGATGGCTGGAAACGGTTCCCAAGGGAAACAGAGGACACCATTTCGACAGTTTCAAGTATCTGGTTTGGGCCCCAAAACATGTACGTAGAATAATTGAAACGACTTGAGATGATTAGCCACCTTCGCCTTCACCTTAAGCTTGGCTCCTTGGGTGCCCTTTGTTCCCATAGTTCTAAACGGAATACTTGAAACAGTTCGAAACAGTGCAAACAATCGAAATAAACCCCATGTCAATGTTTGCACTATTCGGTGCCCAAACTTTTGGAAATAATGGCATTGAACCCACATAGAACTGTTTCAGTGGTTGGGAAATTGCTCAGGAAGGAAGCGGCGACCGCAGACGTGGCAAGATGTGGTGCGGTGGACTGCGACCGTGTCAAAGTATCTTCAGAATTCAATTCGGCCGCCCCTTCGGCGACCCCTCGCCCTTCCCCTTGCTGCAGATCTCGACGGCTGAAGGTAAGTGAAGGAAGCCTACCGAAAGGTTCAATACCCCAACGTATCCTCAGAGGTCAGAGCTTTTCGGCCAAAGGGTCTTGTCCGGGTATATACCCAGCTATCAGCATCGACAAAACTAGCATCGCTGCTTCAAAAACGCTGCTGTATCCGTATATGTGCTTAGCTATACCCGATATACATGTATGTATGAGCCTATGTCTATATGTTTTGGCTTGGCAAACTGGGCCACCAGCATTCTCCTAGTTTGCTTTCTTGCTGGCGCACGTTCGAGCTGTCGTGCTCGGAGAGTATCGCGAAACGAGTGCTACAGCCCCGTCTCTACTATATGAACTGGTTGCTGCCATTATGTACCTGTTGCGGGATGCTGCTCCACATGACCCATGACTCCTACTGTCTCGTTGCACTTTTGTGATTGCTGCTGCTTGACTCATGCAGCCCTGCTTGGTCCTGATGTTCTGCGAGAAGACGTACATGTAATATTTCTGCTGCAGAACTGCTCAAAGAAGGACGCTTTCTCGAAACGAAAAACCGCACCCTCATCAGTATATTTTATGTACACTATCAGTAACTGGTCAATCAGCGATGGCCACCTGAAGCTCAGCTCCCGACACTCAGCAGCGAATGCGCTCGCGGATCAGGGAGCGACTGGCCCAAAGGCTTGAAGCTTGGATGATGGAGCTCTTCAATTCGGCGCTCATAGGACTCCCCAGGCTGATGGCTCTTCAACTCAACGTCGTGTCTTCAGTATTTTAAAAGAATAACGTGAACCGCGGGGTGCCAGTAGCCGCCTGGGGACTAGCAGCAGCAAGTCCTTCAAAGTCACAAGTTCAACGAAACCCGGGTACCGTGATTCGACACGTCTGACACGGTCAGACGATTCACCGTGTGATTCACACAGCAGGGTCGCAATCAGCCCGCATGCGAAATCAAACTCAGCAAGGTGGCCAAACATAAAAGCAATGAGTGCGTGTGAGTCTGCAACGGAGCATCGCAGCAGTTTTCTGGCAGTGACAGAGTTCGCGACGCTGAATGATTTGTTTCCGGTGCTTTTAAATGTTGCATGATTTTGCGGTCAGGGCGTGTCGCAGCGCAAAGGCGCTGCCGGACCAAAACTGCACAGCCGAGACAAGTTATAACGATGATGAAGGTGTGTGTGTGTGTGTGTGTAATTGTGTGTATTTATACACACACACACATATATATATATATATATATACAGTTATGTACACACATGAATACGCATACGCATTACAGGCGTTGACATCAGATGCGTTGCTTATTCCCGCCCCTAGCTTCTGTTGTCACTCAACTCGTTTCTCGATTCGCTGCTTATCAGGCCGTGTGCTGCCTCTTCATGCCCGCAGATCGCAAACGGCAAGAAGTTCACGCTGCTCGAAACGAGCTGAAAACCGAGCGAGCGGCACCATAAAGTTCAGGAAAGACAGCGCCGTCACCAGGAGAATGCTCAAACCTTGGGAAAGATTCAACAGAGACACAAATGCAGTCTTATCGATTTGGCTACCGGCTGGGTCGTTCATGTGGTCACATGTGTCTAAGCACCTGTATGCACAGACACGCATATCACTGTCACTGCGAATACGTGCTTGCAAACCTTCGGACCTTTACACAACCGTGCTTCTGCATGTGCTGACTGTAGGTCTGCGAAATGCCTACAGTAGCGCAGGCGGTTCACTGTCACATCCCGGCCTGACAAGGTGAGTTTTAACCGACGTATACGTGTATTGGATATCTGTTCAGCAACCACTCTCGCTGCAGCAAACTCGCGTCGCATGCTCGTCTGTCGCATGCCCCATGCGTGCAAGGTGCATTAAGAGCTTGTACTTTCTTTCTTCATGGCAAGGCAAGACACATATCTATCTGCAGAGGTGTTGCTAGATCGCTCGTCGCTAACTAGTTCAGTACTTGCTGAATCAGTTACGCACGGGTTTTAGCCTGTGTGCAGGAAATTCAAAAGTGTGCCCGTCTGTTGCGCGGCGCCGAGCAGGGTCGTAGGCAGTTGCCAGGAGGCAAGCTTCTGGCGATTTGAGTGTCTCTCGTGCGGGTAAGAGTTCTGCTGTGCTGAACCGTGTGGCACATAAAATACGCATATGCGCATTCGGGCACTATCTCTCGTTCATGCTTTGCTGGACCGTCGGCCGTGCCCCGCGCACGTATGTTAGCCGCCGGAGCTCACGAAAGGCTGACACGGTGGCACAAATCCTGGCTGCATTCCCTGCTTAGCATGACAACCCTTCGATCAGTCTTTTTCCAGCTCGTCCGACTCTCCGCTTGGACATTAAAAGCATGGTCGCTGTCGGTTACCGACAGGACCTCCATGTGGTTTAGGGAATTCTGCGCACCTTCGTGGCCCGGCTGGAAGCTGTGGTAGCCAAGGCTGACTCATTGCTTGTAAAGTTATTACACCCACTCGCCCGATTTGCCACCTACAGCTGTTAGGACAGTCCACACAGGATTAAACCAGGCTCTCTCGCGCGGTCAACATCCGAAGGAGGAGCGGCTGTGGCGGGCTGTTGCTGTACGGTGCCCCCACTGCCCCGGGGAGAGCACTCTTGCATGAGTGCACTCGCGGTAGGCTACGCAAACACGAACGTGCCTTAGGGGGAGGCTCTAGCTGCTCGCAAACCCGACACCTGGAAACAACACTACTCAATACCCCGAAGCCGACAGTAGCTGTGAAGGGCATGTGGCGAATCATGCCGCATGCCCCATGGCAGCTATCTGAAATGAGGAAATGGAGCCGGGACCTCACGTGTCCTCATGTGGGAATAAACGTCCCAGAGACACTGGGAGTGAGTGGAAGCCCTGAGGAGCCTGCAGACAGGCTCGGGGTTGAAACAGGACTTCGAAGTGTGACCTACCAGAGTCTGGGAGCTTTCTTGGACTCCTAACCAGGCTGAGTTCAATCTGAAGTGATCGCCTGTCGAAGGATATGACCCAGGCATAGCCGCAATGAAACGGCTCGCTGGCAACGCTTCTTAATCTCGAAGTCCGTATCCTACCCGTTCTCGCCTTGTTGCTGGGCGACTTGTCATTCATGATATTCATGTTCATCGGCTTCCTCTTTGAGGTCTCTTGCGGCACCTCCATGCCCTTGATCTTGCCTTGGCATGGCAGGAGCAAGGCCAGGCTCCAGGTGACGAGGTGATGTCTTTTGCTTGTCGGGCGGGCTCGGGATTCTGCGGGGTTCAGGGATTCTGCGTCGTCCTGGCACTTGCACTTGTCGGAATCAGCCGAAGTAGGGACCCACAAAAACATGCTGAAAGTCCCACAAGACATGCACAGGGTCAAGTGCAAGTTTAAACCCAGAGAGAGAGAGAGAGAGAGAGAGAGAGAGAGAGAAAGAGAGAAAGAGAGAAAGAGAGAAAGAGAGAGAGAGGGAGAGTTTCAAGTTGAAGTTGACACAGAGAGCGAAATAGAAAGGGAAAGAGAAAAGAGAGTGAGCGCGAGAGTGAGCGAGCGAGCACGGCGGACTTTCCAAGCAGGTACCCCTCACACTGGCCTTCTTAATCAAAACTCAAACTGTGCTTAGCACATATCTCGTGGCTAGGTAAAGTCAAGTCGCTGCGCAGGGCTTCGTGGAACTCTACCCACTCCTGCACATAAAAGCTACAGAAGCAGCTGAGCAGCTGCATGCGGGGACCACTGCTACTTCATCTGCCCCCCGAAATCGAGAAGCATCTAAACTGCAGAAGAATCCAGTTATGCAGACTGCAGCTTTGATCGTGGAGACTTGCAGCATAGTCTGAGGCTTCCACCCAGCCCAAGCGCAGCTCGCCCTCCAACTTCATCTCTACCGTCTCGAAAGGCTTGCAAGCAGGGAGTCCTTTACATGGCAAAGAGACACACGAACTCTTCAAAACTCGCTTCCCTAAAGAAGCTTCTGCCCGTGGCAGGAGACCCTTGCAAAGGCGGGTTCCGGCGTAGCTTCGGCCGAGAGTCCGCAGTGAGTGAAAGCACGCTCTGCAGAGCTTCCAGACTGGACCTTCATTGCCAGAGGTGCAATCGAAAGGCAAAGGGGTGGGGTCGGGCATGCTGAGATGCTGAGGTCACAAGTGCAGTTGTCTAGCTTTGCACTTGTGGCAAATCCAAAACCGGTGCGGTCAGCGGATTGCGTGAATGGCTGAGCAACGACTGGTCATCACTAATCACTAATCCCAAAACAGCAGACTAGCCTAGGTATCCTAGGACCTGTATCCCATCGCAGCAAAGCTTCGTTCAGGCGGATGTGGCTCGTCTCATAGACTGCCGGCAGCCCAGGGTAAGATGCAGAGTCCAGCTCTTCAATAAAACCTCACAGGCTCACAGCGCCGCTTTGTCGATTGACCTTCGCCTCCCCTCCCCCTTCGAGCAGGGCTTGGGCCAAGTTCCCAAACACCGATCTGCAGCCTCAATCGAAGCCTCAACCTAAACCCTGAAAAAGAATCTGTCATTGTCATGTAAAGGCAGCCCAAAGGCTGGCGTCCTCCTGGGGGCTGTGGACCAGACCCTCGGTTCCTTCACCGATGTCCACCTGATTTGCGCAGTAGCGCCTGCACCCCTCCATCGCTGGGTGTCTCTGTCCCTATCTGGTCCCTCATAACATATTCAACCGCTCCAATTTATATACACCAAAGAAAAGTGGTGTGAACTGGGCATCCTATACTACTGCTACCTGTGCCAGCGGAGCCGGGCTCAAGCTGCAATCCCCTCTGTATCGGCACAGCTGTGATATTGGCATGCTCTCGAGCTGCACTGGCTTCATTGAAACGATTGCCACCGAGACCAAAAGCAGACAAGAATCGTGAAGTTCTTCCCGGATTCCGCGGATTGCCGCGTGTAAGGCCGACTGATCTGAGAGGGCCTTCGATGGCGTCTTCAATCCAAGGGAAGTGGGGTGAGACACTTGCGAACATGTGCGATCGACTTCTGCTTCGCTCTTCCGGGGCCTTCTTCTCTGCGAGCACGGAGCGATGCTCCCGGCGCATTCCATTGGGGAAGATCTTCATGCGCTCCACCAAAACCTTTCCGCAGTAGGTGATCCTCAGCGGAGCTCAAAGGAAAGCCCTCAGCCGTCTATCACAATTCTCGCGAACTTCGCCCCTTGCTGCATCTGCTCACGGAGGCACCGGTACACCTAAGACGATCGCCTACGCCTAGCCTAGCGGGCCAGGCGTCTGGACGAAGACAGGCTCCACTAGCCTCGGTGAGCTCCGATTGATTTGCGACATGGACCAACGACGCCAATCACCAGTGTGCCGCTTTGCCGAGGACTACAGTCACTACAGGCTGCCATGGACCATCGAGATTGAGAGACTTTGCACTTGCAGGCAAGTGGCCGGTAGATGCGCCTCGGGGCTGGTGGCTCTAGCCTATGCTTACCTCTTGCTCTACACCAGCGGATGCCCGACTGGGTCCGATGATGGGCGATAACAGGCCAGCTAGCCCCAACGATCAAAGTCCATCTTTTCTGGACCAAGGGACTTCCTGTTTGCGACGCGAAGAGAGCACGATCCTCGCCATGTTTCAGGGCAACTTCTGTTGGTGGGGTGGGAAGAAAGACACTTCCATGCTCAGGATCACAGCAAGTGAGCCCCCAATTGCTCCCCGCGACTTCCGAGCCCGATTCCGAAGCAGTCCTTCGCGCAGCTCCCGGAGCAGAGAAACCACCGGCTTCGCGTGCTGATCTCCCCAGGCCCTTGGACCGAGCACAGGGAACCAACCAGCTACAGGCACTGCCACCACCGCCGTCTTCTGACACCGGCACGGTCTTTACTTGTTGCTAAGGATGACGGGAGCACCTTGGCCACTACGCCCTCTCTCCCTCATAGATCCATCCATGTCCGTCGAAGGCACGATGTGTCAATGCCGAAGCTCTTTAAGAGGTCGCACAAGGCCTGTGCAAGAGCTGAGACCACACTCTCGTGGAATCCGGGCCACACGTACGGTAAAGTTGCTCAGCTCCGTGTTTGGGGACAAACAGTTTCTGCTGGTTTCCTGAACCTGTCGGAGCAGGCCCTGCATCTTGTCTAACACTCCCAGCCAATTCCAGAGCGTGACCCTAAATCAAAAGCCAACTTCAATACCCTTGCCAGAGCCGACCCAGGCCCCATCTCTAAGGCGTCATGTCCCAACCCGCCGCCTGCTCGCTGTTGGGACATTTCATCACTTGATCCCCGGCCAACAGGAGCTTCGGGAGCGACAAGCATGCCATAGCAGGCGGCAGCGTCGGAGAAGTTCACTTAGCCTTCCTTGAGAGCCTCTTCTTGTTCCGAACTCAAACCTGTCGATACTTTCACTTGGATGTGGCATCCTGAATTTATGCAGATCTATTTCTGGCTCATGGCCCACAGCTCCCTAGTAGACCGTGGCTTGAAGCCCCCAGCTGCAAAGCAGCCTCTTCATTCCCCTCTTGATCCGAAGCATCAAAAGAGGGAGCAGGCACAAAACTGCGGACTCCGAAGCTGGTACTCCTAATTAGCACCAGCTATGAACAAGATACCGGTGATTGTAGGAGTAGACACTGGTAGAAATGGCTCAAGCCCTCAGAGATGCGGCTAAAGAGACGGCAGCTGATCAACAGCGACGACATCATCATCAACAAGAGTAGTAGCGACGGCAAGGGAAGCAGACCTCGACAGACCTCGACGGACGACGACAAATCGTACATGCCTGGAACCCCTAGCTCTTTTGTCCCAAGGCCCCAACTGAAGAAGTACCAGTGGAGACCTGGCCCGAAAATTCAACGTACCAAGCAATGCTGGCATGAACGCGAAGCTTGGACACCCAATCTCCGGGCAACCGTGCAAGAGAAACGCCGGTGATTTCAGAAAGCCTTAGGCAGGAGAGCGGACTCGCACAAGCTTCTGGATTCACTTCGGGCTGAATTCTCTGGTGTTCAGCTGCTCTTGAGTAGAACTTCGAGATGCAGGCGCAGCAAAGACGAAAAACAACACCCAGACCGCCCCAAGCCTCGGAGCGGCTTTGGCTCGTCCTCTTCCACTTCTTCGCGATCGTCTACATCTTGTACGCCTCCTCTGCAGCGGGAGGTCCCTTCCTCTGAAAGAAGACTTTTGGGTGCCCAGGCGCCGCCCCTCGGGAAAGAACAAAGTCGGAGGGGCCCTCCCAAGTGGACCCCGACGCCCTTAAACTTGAAACCTAGCAAGGTCGCCCTGGATCGCCTCGCCGCCTGCCCCGCGGCTTCCGCCGTGCACGGCTTGGGCGCATGCCTCCGCGTGATGCCGAATTTAATTGTTGGGTGCATCCGCGCAGAAAAAGCCCTCCCCATCCCTGCACTATCCCTGGATGGTTGGTCTCGTCGTGTTTGCACCCTCCGGATCCCTCCTGCACTCTGCTGACTCAGTTGGCTTCGTGGTATCACTTGATCAATCAAGGACTCCACCCAAAGCTTCACCACAAAAAAAATATGGGATGCGACAAACTGATCGATTCAAGGGGGCTTTACGGGATGGTCGGTCAGAGCAGGTGACAAGACCTCAATGCCTTTAACCCATCGAGCCTTGGTTCAGCCTTTTCTATCTTTTTCTTCGAGATCCGTCCACCGATGCTCTGCGAGTTGGCAGGCCAGTCCCATGGAGCAAGGTGGATGCAGAATGCTTAAGACTTAAGACGTTATAACGGCACCTGGGCATAATTGAACTCTTCGATTGGGGGTTGGACGGACCAAGTTGCTCGCTGGAGGCAGGGAACTGTCACCGCAAGCGAGTGTGCTGGACACGGTTATGGAAGCGGCCCAGTTCAAGAGAGCAAGCAACCTTCCACGCTTCTACGCGCTACACATACCTATTGGTTCTGCAGGTTGCGCTTATGGTGCAGCGAGCTCCACACGATTCCACAAAGCTCAAGCAGGACTGGCTCTACTCACGCTGCTTTCCCGGACGGGAGCGAGTTGGAGTACAACGTCAACTTATGAGGCCCTAGGCCCTAGGCCCAGTCTCGAGGAGGCAGAACGAGCCTGATGCTGGCACCTTGACCGGGCAAGCGCCAAGCTCAACAGGTTCTTGCTACGTTTTACCGTTAACCAGCGTCTCATATCAAATATGGCCTTTACTTTGCCCGCCTTGCACCGGAACTTCTGCAACCCGGGCACGCAAAAACGAATAGCTGCGCAGCCGCAACGAAACCAATCGGTGGAGACGCGGGTGCATCAAGATTTTGGAATTTTGGATGGTCCGGCAAACAATGGGAACGGGTGAGTTGCAATAGCAAGGTTTCTACTTGCACAGGTTGGCGATGGTGATGCTTACCAGAATTACAACAAGACTCATGATAAGATAAAGAAGACTGAGAACACTAATAGAAACATGCATGATAATAAACGATATACTGTAATAACAATAACCATAACACCAACAATCACCATTACAATTAACAAGAAGCGGAATAAGAAGAAGCAGCAGATGCCGATGCTGATGCTGATGATGATGATGATGAAGAAGATGACGATGATGACAAAGATGTCAGCGGAATTTCGGGCGATGTCCTGTGGGTTGGGACGGGACTGGACCGGATGGGACGGGACGGCATGGCACGGGCCGGTGCTAAGGTGGTTTGCATGGCGAGCCTGTCAAAGTCTCCGTACTTCCTTCGAGCAGGAGGAGACCAGAATCGCGTAGAAGCTCGGAAGCAGAAGAATCGGAAAAGATCAGCAGGGCCAGAATGACGGACGAGCGGAGGAGCAGAGGTGCAGAGGGCGGGGGCGAGGCCAAATAAACAAAAAGAATCCCACGGATGCCAAAAAAAAACACCTTACAGAATTGGTGCGTATCATAGACTCGTGACTAGTTCTCATGATGTCCTTGTCACGTACGCCAGGCTCAGCATTGCTCGCTGCTGACCTCTTCAAGCGCCTGCTTTGTACATCTCCTCCCTGGCCCAATGGTGGCCCCTTGTGACCATACATGCCCGGTTTGGTGAAAATATTTGTGGGGCCTGTGGGTCAAAGTGTCACTTCTTCGCAACAAGCGCCGTGCTTGTGCTGCTAATGGCAAGCAGCAATTCACTAGCAGTCAGTGAGGCTTTGGCAGCAAGATTATGTCAGGAATGACTGGGGGCGGCGATACTATGCGATACCTGCCACAACATCTCGTGCTGCATACGCCTCTGTGCCCTTTCGGCATAGTTGGAATGGAAAGAGCTGCTGAACATCCTCATCTGCGTTTCAGGGTCAGTTTCTGCCATGTGATAGCCGCTCTTTCCGTGCCCGTGAAACACTCCTCGGACATCTGCACAACATCCTTGCGTTTCGAATAAAAGTTTGGGTTGACTGTACAATCACTGCCTTGCAGGAAGGGCAGGGAAGACCGGCCGCCAAAGGGGCAGGGCACTGGATCTGATCCAAAAGTAACAAAACAACCAAAGGCTGCCCACGCAATGGCAGCAGGCCGACACTGCACCTAGCGGCAACGGCGTTCTCGTCGCGTCCACCATGCATTCTGCATCATCCATGGCGGCTGGATTCGAAAAGGCATATGAAACTTAAGAATGCTGGGATGAGCCCCAGGCACCGTCGCAAAACCGACTTGCTCTATCACTTAACTCACGAACCTTGCTCGTTGACCTGATGCTCGGAGCGTTCACAAGCAACCCGAAATCTTAGAAAAAAGAACTCGTCGGCTCCGGGGACCATGTCTCGAGAGCTTCTGACCCTGAACATCCCTCTCACAGAACTGACGCAACGAGCTCGTCCACTCTCAGCCTGTCTGCAGCCACCTGGCCGGCAAAAGCTTCAGCTTCGGCTGGAGAGTTGTAGAGACTCGCTCCAACAAAGGCTGGCCACGTTGTGGGGCGTCTGGCTCTGGTCCTCCACGATGTAGCTTCCTTCGCCAAGTGTAACAACTCCGCCTCCCTATGCAGCTCCTAAAAGCCTCCGAAAGCATCGCTCTGGCAACGGCCTTCGCCCGCCTTGCACTTCACCACGCCCCGCCATCCTCCAACAAATACAAGGCTTGAGGGCCACCAAGGTCAGGCTCAAGGTGGGTAGGGCACAGCATGTCACGGACGGTCCTTTTCCGGAACTCTCAGAAACTTCCACAGGATCGCCAGGGATAAAGCAGCCGGGCCCTTGGCATGCGGAGTGGGTGCTCTGCCAGCAAAGGCAGAGAAGCCCTGCGCACATCTGCACGTAGAGAAAGTCTGCGCGCTGCAGTCTGGGTGGCTGCTATCCACGACCACCACCCAAGGGTCTGCGAAGGCCGCCTCGGTGGCAGCGGCAGCAGCCGCCTCTACCTGCAGAAGTTCGGCTCTTGAAGCACTCGATATTCAGCCCGTGCGAATTCTTGGCAATATCCCGGCCTTCGTCGGCTCGGTGCCCAAGCTCTTCGGGCCCAAGCCTCCTCCCAAATCAACCGAACTCTCAGGCACCTTTTGAGGCTTGGTGTAAGATAGGGAACCAAGGATGCTGGATCCCAATCCTTGGACGTGGGACCACAGCGAGCCCAACGCCATGCCAGTCCCAGTCAGTACCAGCCGGCCACCAAAAAGGCCTGCCTCGGTGGGGTTAGGAAGCCTGTGTGGCCTCTGGCGCGGTGTGAAGTGGTACCAGTACAGGGGAGATCTGACTTGTTGCACACCGATGTAACCAAAACTGAATGCGCAAACGACACTTGAATCCAGTCTATGAAGAGTTGGAGATGGAGATAACTTCCAACACAAAATGAAACGTTTGCCGCTCGAGTCACGTGGCCACCGACCTTCACCAGCTCACCTTCAGCCCACAACAAATCACAGAACTCGGCTGGCACGAAGCACAAAGTCAGGTGAATCACAACAGCCCGCGAGGGGTGTGTGAACAGGCACGTCACAAGATTGAAGCACAGGAGAGGGTAACAGTTGCTAATTTAACTTTGCGACATTTCAATCGTAGCACTTGCGTGCTGGTGTTTGATTGCTGCGGCTGCAACTGAACCAAACAAGCGAGTTGGTGAGGGTAGCACCCCGGAATCGTGAGCCGAGGGCACAGGTACACACCAGGAGCTGTGACGACGCCAGCGCTGGTAGCTCCCGCACCTCTTGGGTTAAACTTGCACGATGCCACTTAACTTAGAATTAGAATGTCTGAGACGTGGTTCAACGCTTTCGGCTGTAAGCAATCAGGACTGGAGGATCCTCAGCCAATGTAATTTTACAGACTGCAGCTGCTTGGGTTGAAATGACACATGTGAAGCAAGCCATGGAAAGCAACCAAACATATCTCTGTGCACTTTCCTGATAGACAAACTTCCCCTCCCACCATTATCTCACAAAGACAAGCTTGATCATTCATCGGTGGCGCGCGGCGGATGCCACATCGAAGCCAAGACTCCGCCTGCAGCTTATGCCGGTAAAGGATCAAGATTAGAAACCGCAAGCTCGAGGCATCATCAGAAAACCATGGGGCAGCACTTCCCAGGATCCAAACATCGACTGTTGATCCGCGTAAGATACAGAGAAAAAAGTTTCTGGGCTTCGGGTGTGAGGCTCTCCGTGGGAACACGCTCCAGGAAGAACAGGGAGTTGAGACTTCTGGCGTGCGCTCATGAACATTGCGATATAAGGCCATCGCCGGCACTGGTTCATCTGAGAAAAGATCCAGAACGCAGTTCATCTGGCATTCTTCGCCTGGGAGATCGGCAGCCGAGTCAGTGCATTCGTCCTTCCCCAGCTACTGCGTGAAACGGAGTCTTACTTCACCTGCAACCTTGCTGGAATGCTGCATCCATTCCTGTTCTAGTTGCAGGGCTTGCTGACATAGCGAAACTTCAACCTTGGCCATTTAGCCCGAAGCATGGCGGGGTGCAGGAGCTGAGGAGGTTCTGTGTTTGTTAATCCTCCCTAGAAGAGGGGCCTTGTCAGACAGGAATTCAAAAGGACGACTTAGTCTGCAAGTCTAAACCAGTACCTTCATCGCACATTTCGCAACCTATTGCTTCCACATGGTGGCTGTTTCGCGCATACGAGCAATCCCCCAGCAGCCTAATAAACTAATTTTTGCCCCTCACATGGCTGAGGTCTATACCCACAAGCAGGGTTTGCTTGGTTGAACAGAGGCCTCATGACCTAATGACGTCGCGGCTTTCTCCCCAAAGGGCTCAGAGTTCCCTGCCATAGTCACTTGCAGCAAAGCCTCAATACCAGACATCGTCCGCATCGAACCAGCCAGAATTGCTGTACTCTTGACAGCTTTCCTGGGCGGTGCTGTGTTTCTGTGGCTCTGCATCTGATTCGTTGTAAGGGATGTGCGGCAGAGGATTGGACAACGAGCAAAAGATTATTGGAACTTAACTTTTAAAGTCAACTGAAAATCTTTTCTGCGCGAACTTTCCGCACCCAGCGTCACATTTCCGATAGCCAAAGAGCCAGAGCAAGGATGCTTTCGCCATGCACAAATCCTCGGACAGCACAGCTCCAAAAAGCACGTGCTAGTAACCAGTGTTCTGCAGAATCCTCATAGCACCGCAAACCTCAACCCCCCCGTCACAGGCCATCAGAGAAAAGGTCGACACCAGATCCAAATCTCTGCTTGAAGCCGGTCGATTCGGATTCCAGCTCGTCTCCCGAAGTCCTATTAGGCCATGCTGAAGACGGCTGTCCTAGCTAGAGCATCCACTGCTCCGAATTTCTGCTGGGCCGCCCGTAAAGCGCAGGGACGGAACGGAGGAGACGGGAGGCGCGGTGGGGGTCACCCAGGGGGAGGGCGGGGTCGGGGGAGGGGAGGCAGAGCCGCTGAAAAGGTCCGCGTGCGGATTGCATGTCGAAAGCTGGGCTCAGTACCGCTTTGGCTTAAGAGAAATTGCTCAAGCTTAGATAAACGATATAGCATCTCAAAGCCACTGCAATCTGCCTAGCTGATCACGTACAAGGCTTCGCAGAGTCTGCGGTGCGAGTGGGCAGAAATTAACTGCTTTTTCCTGAAGCAGTCCCCAGGCCACCTCCAAGCTTCTGAAGAAGAGCTCGAGCACACCCGAACCCTGTAGATGCTCTCCCGGCCTGGTTGTGCAGGCACAGCCCCCAAGGCTTGCAAAGACTCAGCTCGGAAGCAGGAGGGGAGGGGCCCGTGCGGCTCAGGAAATTATCCCTACCTGAAGCAGGACCTGGCTTGAGAAGTCCGCTCCCTGACCCTGCTGCTGCATGCTGTGGCCACGACCCCATGAATGCCGCAGAGGGCGCCGCAGGTGAAGCTGCACAGATGGAGGGCCCTAGCTGCTAGTAACTGCTAGTACATGGAAGCGTTGTTGCAATTCTTACAATGTCAGATGGTGTAGTTTATTGATGTTCTACGATGAGCTCGAATGCTGCTTGGATGCAGACAGGACAGGGGCCAAGGGTTTTCCATAGATGTGCGGGTGTGTTTGCTTGTGCCCCCGGTGAAGCTTCCAGCATCATGTCTTCATTGGTTGGGGCTGATCTGGCTGACGTCCGCGCGATTGGCCACAATGCTCATTGCCCTAAATCTCATGACTTACTTGAGAACGGCCGACGAGAAAGGAGAGAATGCAGGCGTATGCAAACCAACAGCTTTTGCTTCTGTGGTAAAAAGGTGGCACTGTAGCGGGCTGTCGGACAGTGCCGTGTTTTCGCCGCACCGCACCATGAAGAACATCATCTCCTCCTTGGTTGCAGGCACACGCGCTCTTTCGGTGTCACTCCAGTATCCCTTGAAGTCTGGCTCGAGATCGTGCCCCGCATCGAGCAGAGCATGGCAGAGACCAACATCTGTTTGCCTAGCGGCTGGGTAGACCAGCACGCTGCGCCGAAATGAAAATGCCGGACTCGGGGTAAGGGCAGCCGGTGAGCAGGCAGAGCCGCGTGATGATCCTGCCTTTCTCACCACAGTATTCACTACATGGTTGCTGTGCACAGTCTCAGATCGGCTCGTGTGAGCTTGCTGTCCGCATTGCATTGTGCGGCTTCTTACGGCTTGCCGCGCCGTCAGCATGATTCAGGCTCGCAGCTTGTCTGGCAGCTACGAACGAATGTGTCTCAGGGCATCTAGGATACGGTCCAGGAACCCTGGCACACATACGGTAAGTTGATCGGGTAGGTTTGTTCTACTTTCTCTGACAAGGATTTCTGCTCTGCGTGAATAGTGCATGTAACTGGACACATGCGAAAACTGGCAGATTCCATCTGCAGTCAGCAGACAAGCTCACACCACTTGCTATTTAATTTGAGCAAGACTTGAACCTCCATTTTGACATTCCAACCTGTCATGGACCAGAGGCTCCCAAGCACGACAGCAGCTGCGATCAGCATGGGTGCACGAGATGAAAGCGAATATTCAACTCCAGTTCAAGAAGTCAAGAAAGACCCATATGCCACACAGCATTGGCACCTGCTTCAAAGCCACAGCTGCTTTGCGCAACATGTTCAGGTCTTTGTCCTAAGCGCGGGCAGAGCACTTTTCGACCTTAGGGTCCTTGATGTTTTGAAACCTCAAATACTCCAACGAGCACAAATGCAAGCAACACGACAGCTTGGGAACATCAAGTTAGGAGAACCGCGCCTGGACAGCTCCGTTGGCACCTAGGAGACAATGCGGGCTGCCACGGCCTTGAACAGGCCGTCACTCGTGGCGAGATACCATTCGCAAGTCTCAAATCAAAGTTGTTCTTGGTGGGCGGAAAAAATCACAGCCAAAATCACAGCCTAGAAAGGCTGCACATGGCTTTCCAAAGTGGCAGCGTCACCCGATCAAAACGCTCCCCATGCTGCTCCCGGACTCCCAGCAAATCCAGCCTTCGTCGCCGCTGCGCCAGGCACATCCCAGCACTCCTGCTGGCTGCAGCAGCAGCTGGCTTGGCCATCCGGGAAGTGCAACACAAATCTACATACAACTCCGTGCACCCATTCCACAGCATCATTCGTACTAGCCAGGCTTAATTAAGCAGTCCTCCCCGACAGGCGCGCTGCACCCTTTCGGCCACGGTAGCCTAGCAGGAGGTTGACCACAGGCCCGCGAAATCCGAAATGGAAAACCTGCAGCAGAAGATGTCACAAAACATGGCTCCCGTACTTCATAGCCCAAGTTGGCGCATGTCAAGCTGAACCTTTGCATACATCCGACTTCCGAGCAATTCAAGCCGTAGCTGCCTGGAAAGCCTTGAGACTGGCTTGTTCCACACCCAACCTCTCCCGATCGCGAATCGCGGTACACGATGCTACACGTTCCGTGCAGATGTTACTTTCGCCCTGTTCCGCGGCGTTCGGGTTTGGGCTCCGGCCCTAAACTGCAGCCATGCAGCCACACCTTTCCGAAGCCAGGGTAGCTCCGAGTTGGGCTCGTCCGCCCAGCTGGCAAGGGCCTGGTACGTCAGGACGCGGGCTTTGCTGCCTCCAAGAAAAATTTCCCCGCCTCTGCAAGTGCGGGAAGGTTCTCCTCCTCCAGCGCTCTGATGACGAGCTCACGGGTCTCAGATGCATCCTGAGATCCAGCGAAGCGGAAAAAAGCTGCAGACACAAGCTCTGGGAAGGTAGCAATGCAAGTTATGGAGATTATGGAGGGTCCCAGAGAAGCTCGGTCACTGAAAAACTGCATGCGTTTGCCAAGCATCGCTCGCACCCCGTGTGGCCCATGCAGCTGACATGTCGAAGAGTTCATAGTCGTTCCTGGGACAGTGGGGTGGCTCGGGAAAGTGGCGAAGTGGCGGCTTGCAATGGCTTGCAGCTGCTGAGTCCGAGAGGCAGCCCCGGAAGGCCGGCGCCCTCCAAGCTGCGGCCGAGCGCTTCGGCGGCCTCCAGCAAGCAGCGGCCCAGCGCGTGCAACGCGTGGGCGTGGCTCCAGCCTGGCGAAGCGGGCGACATCCCGTCTCGCATTCGTGCTGCTGGTCAAGGCACAGTCAAGTCTCCCGCCTTCAGGCTGTGGCGGTAGAAAGCCGTAACTGAAGTCGTCCTTGCGAGCGCAAGCACTGCGACCATCATCTCAACAGTGGTGCCGAAAAGTAGTTCACTAAGCATGTTGCATGGCATGGATGTACAGGGCGGGCTGCAGTGGCTCCATTCAAGGCTGATCTTGGCATGCCTTCAACTCTTCCACAGAGAGAGCTGCGTTGTGGAAGGATCCAATGAACCCATGGCAATTATTCCTTTAAAAGTAGCTCCGGTCTTTTGCGAAGTCGGTCCTCGACAGGAGAGTGCCTCATGGAAAACCTGGGCTGGCATGAATGAACGGTTGGTCCAGTCAGCATGGCACGGCTCTCAGTAAAGAAGCTGACTACAAGCATGACGCTTTGCGAGTTTCATGAGTTGGCAACTATTGATCACTCCATCCGCTCTTACTTAGCGGCAGGAGAGAAGCGTGCAGGCCAGAACGCCCTGCGGACGCAGCGCGCGCAGCGCAGGCCTGCAGAAGGTCTCAGTCTCGAGAGCTTGCAGCGGCACTCGGAAACATTCCCTACTCTGGTCTGCCCCGGGCCTCAGATGCGAGGCTCGGGAGGCCAGGCAGCCTCAGGGTACAGCATGGCACAGCGCAGTGTCACCTGACTCACTAGATTCACTAGATCACTAGATGTGACAGCTGCAGGATGTTACAGGGGTCTCTTTGGATTCCGATTCCGCGGCGCTGTGGCAATCACCGGCGCTTGGCTTTCGGAGTTTGGCCAGCCTGTGTAGTCCAGGAACAGCAGGTCCAAGGCCCCAGAAACTTCAGTCGAGCGCAGGAAGTCCTCCCGGATGCCACAGAAAGACCAGCATGTCGAGAGTATGAACACACGGTGAATTGGATCCGGGCTCAGAGAATGATTCGGTGTGGTGGTCCTGTACTCGACCGCACCAGCTGGAGATCCCACGATCTGACCTCGAAACTGACAGCTTTCAGGAATCACCGTTTCCTACCAGAACGTATACAGCATGTGTCTCAGAAGTCCGGTCCGATACCGCAGTGTCTCCATCAGCTTGATGTCCATGCCGGAATACGTGCAACAGGGGGCAGAGCTTCCGCAACCGCCGGCACCACGTTCGGAGACAAGATCCTGAAATAAGAGCGCAGGACTCTTGAAGAAAAAGCAATAGTCGGCTAAACTCACATTCTGTTGTCCACACTTGGCACATTGCTATTTAATCAGGCAGCCGTTCCGCAGGCAGCCCACGCCCCAAGAGTGCCTCCCACCCGCACTGTTTGTAACATGGCTTTGATGGGCTGGGATAGATGGTTGTATGCACAAAATGGACTGTGACTGGGTCATGAAGTCTTCGACTTCTCTGCTACAAAGTCCCCTATCGGAAAGGCATGAGACATTCTGGTCTTGCAGAGGCAGGATGAAACGCCACTGCCGGGAGCAATGAATATAAAGGTCCCCGTGTCTTCGTCATCCGCAAGCACATAGGTTCCAACTAAATCAAGTTATTCCAAGCTCCGCAACTTGCACGCAGGACGGGGGGTTCACGTTGATATGCCTGCCTGAGAGGTCTGGGCATCCGCTCCATCCAACACTAGCGCTAGTCGCCCATCCTCGGTGTAAGGCAGTGCAAGGTAAGGTCATGATGGCTGCCTCCTACTTCGCAAGGACGAGCCCGCATGGCAAGGGTCTTGATTAGATCTCGCATGTCTCTGCGGGTTTTATGCCATGTCAGCTTGTAAGTGTTGCAGGACATAAATAAGAGTACGAAGCCCGAAATAAACCCTGACTAGCACGCTGCTCAACCCGGCTTTAGACAAGCTTCTTTGCCACCTGGATCATCTGGAATCGCCTGGCAGCCGTTCGGCGGCACGTGCAGCTTTGCATCGAACAAGCCAAGACATTCAATCGGTTTGGAAGCATGCACATGTGTGAGCACACACCGCCAATTCTGATGCACAGTAGCGCCGGAGATCTCCGAACCCTGAACAGAAGAAGAAGCGCAAGAAGAACAAGACCAAGAAACCGAACCGCATGGATTGGTGGTGTAATAGGATTGAACCGCTGGCGAGTTGGTGCTCTTGTGCTCAAATCGCGCGTGATTCGAACTGCCAGTGCTTAGTCGTACAAGAGTGCTCGACCGGTGCCAGTGCTCGATTCGCCCTTCACGGGCAGTCTTAGTTTCTACCGACAGCAACGACAAAAGGAAGATGCAGCAGCAGCAGCAGCAGCAGCAGCAGCAACAGCAACAGCAAGAAGGAGAACAAGATACGGTATCAAGTTCGATGCTTCGGCCTCCGCGATCAAGGTGTTGATGCGGTGCTTGGTCCTTCGGGCTCGCACGATGCGGGGCCACTCCTTCTCCAATCCTGCGCAGGCAACGAGGCATTTTCTGCATAGAATCCATTCTTGGCCTCTGTCTTACGTCTGAGCAATTTCATTCACATTCCGGAACTCCATCGCTCACCCCTGAAGCATTGCTACGAACTGCGACAATGCATTCAAAGAGGCTTCCGCTGGCAGCCGCGCGCCGCTCGAACTTGTCGGCCTCTGCCATGGTTCCACGGCCACCGAAGGCTCCACATGAACAGGTAGGGAAATTCACGGAGGTTAACACAGAAAAATTGAAAATCCTTGAAATGACTACATATCAACCTACATGTCCATGAGGACACTATGTGTACCCCGGTCAAGTGGTACAGCACGTTCTGATTCAAGTTCGCATGTCCTACACAGCTTCATTGAGATCAGAAGGCCCGAATAATCTTCTCAAGTGCATGCCCAGGCTCCTGGGCAGCCTCAATTTGCACCATACTTTCCGTCGCAAGGGGCATGGCTCTGTATCAACCCTTGCTGCAAAACATGCAGCCCGCAGCACGGCACTCTAGCCCATCTCCACTGCAAGTGTTGTCAAAGTAGCTTTTGCATACGCATGCAGTTGGACTATAGCCTTGCAGCCGATGCATGCGCTGTGTCCGCTGTGTGCCCAAGCCAAGATGCACGGCTTCTCTCGGGCCGTCCGGCCGCTACATCGCCCGCGGCCCACGCCGACAGCCTTGGGTTTGCACAGCTTCGGCCTTGCCGCCTACACCAGAATACCGCAACGGGTTTGCTTTGCTCCGCTAGTATGCGAACGTTGAACAGGCCAGTGCACTCGTAGCAGCATCTAGAATCTAGACCCAGAGCCATTATCGCAAATCTCACCAGGTATAAAGCACCTTCCATCGGCAAAGAGGCTCCGTTTTGTAGACCGCCTCCTGGAGTGTACAAGGCGGCAGCGATCGGACCCTAAGCCCTAGGCCGTGTCTATCTAAACAATATGTGCTCTTTTACCGGACACTTTGGATTCCGCTCTGGCGGGGACAGAGAAACACAGAGAGAGAGAGAGAGAGCAAAAGAGCGAGAGAGAGAGAGAGAGAGAGAGATAGGGAGAGAGACAGGGAGATAGGACAGCGAAGTTGGGAGCGAGGAAAGACAGCTCAGAAATGAGCAACAAGAATGAGCGACGGAGCAAGAGCGAGATTCAGACACAGAGAGAAAGAGACCAATACTGACAGCGAACATTTGGTGTATGTGCAGACAACGGTTCCGTCAGAATCAAACAGACGTTGGGGAGTGCATGAACCAATCTGCACGGTGATGCGGGTGCGTGAGTGCAACATTAGACATGTGCAGAGGTGACTGTTCGCACACACGCGCACACACATGCACAGGTAAACATGCACATGCGGACGCATGCGTAACAGCACCGAAACCATGCATAGATGTTCAAGTCAAAACATACAGATCCACTGGTAGCTTGCTGCTGCAGCTACTGAATTAGCTACCGTAGGTGGCCGGAAAGACCGGCAAAGGCAACGACTGGTACACTCCGGAGTATGCGATTGATTATGCAGGGCCGCCAGTGTCAGCGCCCGCCGCACCAACGCAGAGTGGTTGGCACCGCCCAGGATGTGGCGAACTGGCGCCCAGGCAACTCGAGTGCCTTCTGAGCTTCCGAGAAACTGCCCAAGCCGTGGTTGAAGTTTTCGTTCGTTCGTGGTAAAGCCCTAAGCTCGGCCTGTACCCAGAAGCACAACTTGTTTCACAAATACTGCTAGTCACGAGGCACTGCGCACACATGTACACCGATAGCAGCAGCATCCTCGCGCTTTCGACCGTTTCACTCAAAAGCTCAACCTCGCCTGGGACCACCTCGAAGAGATCTTGTCCAGAGGGGTCCTTTACCATGCATGCTTAAGCTTCGCTAGCAAGAAATGGTGGAAAAATCGACACTGCTTAGGTCCTTCACCGTCGCATTTGTACCCCAGTAGTTCAGCAGGCAAAGCCATTCTCCTGGGTTCTCACGCCGCAATGACACGCAATTGAAGCCTCATCATGCTCATAACTGGTCAGATAACACGCATGACAAGGACTCATGGTAAAGTTGACATGCAGTCCGCAAAAGAAGCGGCCCCTAAATCCATGCGTAACTCTAGTATTGCCACAACTCCTGCTACGTTGGTGCTATGCCAGCGCAACACTTGAAGGCTTCTGAGCGAGCTCATGAAGACACTTCCCCAGCAAAAATAGATGTGACAA